TAAGCATACTTGGTATAGATTCAAAGTAACAGTTCAATATACAGAATACATATTTCCTTTGTTCATTTTCCTTTCTCTGTTATTTTTGTATGATGGTATCAGAGCTCCACTGAGAACTGGTATTTTGTTCCTTTTTCAAAAAAATTTGTTACTATGGCGAACCAGGGCAATCTTGGGGATTTCTTAACAAATCCTGGAAACCCGTTTTACTTACATCCAAGTGAAAACTCAACATTGGTGTTAGTTTATCCAGTTCTCAATGGCAAGAACTATCACGCCTGGGTTAGAGGAATGCATATGGCACTTTCATCCAAGAACAAACTTGGATTTGTTAATGGGAACATAACCGTTCCAGATGAAGCGGACCCAATTTTCCCTGCATGGGACTGATGCAATACAATGGTTTTATCTTGGATACACTATTCAATATATGATTCTATAGCACAATCGATAATGTGAATTGAAAAGGCAACTGATGCATGGAGTGATTTGAAGGAAAGATTTACTCAATCTGATATCTTCAGAATTGTTGAACTTTAAGAAGATCTTTTCAAATTGCAGCAAGGAGATAGGTCAGTTTCAGATTTCTTTACCCAATTAAAAATATTGTGGGATGAACTTGATAATCTGCAGCCTTTTCCTGCATGTGACTGTGGAGCCACCGCAAGAATTCAAGCTAACAGAGATCGTGATCAACTGATACGATTTCTTATAGGTCTCAATAAACAATATTCCCATGTACGTTCACAAATAATGCTCATAGATCCATTGCCAAACGTGAACAGAGCATCTTCTCTTGTTACTCAACAAGAAAGACAAATTTGTGGTCCAGATTATAATGCTACAGAATCACAGGCCTTTGCCAATGCTTTTCAACCAAATTATTTTCATCCCAATTCACGTGGTGGATTCAACAATAGAGGAAGAGGCAGAGGATTTTTTGGTAGAGGAAGAGGTAATGTAAGCAAGGTCTGCACTCATTGTGGTAAAAACAACTACACAATTGAAACCTGTTATTTGAAACATGGTTTCCCACCGGGGTTCAAAACTAAGAATCCAAACAGTGCCAATATTGCTGGTTTTGAAATTTCTACAGAACATGATGAAGTAGAAAATGTTCAAGAAGTGCAAGAAAATGTGACTTTCACAAAAGATCAGTATACTACTCTACTGGATCTTCTTCAACAATCCAAGATTGGGAACAACAATTCTGTTAACAACAATTATGTTCATAGCTCAAACCTGGTTTATATTTTTAATGCAGACACTACTGAATCAGGTAATGCTCTTAATCAGTGGGTTGTAGATACTGGAGCCACTAATCACATTAGCCATAATTTTTCCCTTTTTACTTTCATAAAGAGCATAAAGCCTATATCAATAAATGTACCAAATGGTCATTGTACTTTTTCTTCCAAAGTTGGTACTGTTCAATTGACTGAAACACTTATTTTGACCAATGTCCTGTATGTACCAGATTTTAAAGTCAATTTAATATCCATCTCTTAACTTTATCAAGACCTAAATTGCCTTGTTATTTTTAACAATGTGTTTTGTTTCATAAAACAGGCACGTACCAAGAAGATGATTGGTTTAGCTAGGCGGATAAATGGACTATACATCCTTCAACAACCATATTATGGCACATGAGACTTGGTCATACTTCCCATTCTATTGTACAAACTATGTCTTCTTTGTTTCCCTACATTACTTGTAATAAGATCTCTCCATGTGATGTTTGTCAATTTTCAAAACAAAGAAAGCTTCCTTTCTCTTTAAGTACTTCTAATTCTAATCATCCTTTTGATATTGTACATGTTGACATGTGGGGGCCATATGCCACTCCATCTATTCATGGTTTCAAATACTTTCTACCTCTTGTGGATGATTATTCACAATTTACATGGATCACGTTGATGCAAAATAAATTAGAAACTTGTAAGCATATTCAAAATTTTGCTGCCTTAGTTAAAAATCAATTTGGGACATCTATTAAATGCCTTCGAACTGACAATGGTTCAGAATTCTTAATATCTCAATTTTACAGTGAAAATGGTATTTTGCACCAAACCTCTTGTGTTGAAACACTCCAACAAAATGGGGTATTTGAAAGAAAACATCAACACATATTAAATGTTGCAAGAGCATTATTCTTTCAAACCAAAATACCTACTGTATTATGGAGTTATTCTATTACTCATGCAGTTCACATTATAAATAGACTTGTTTCTCCTCTTCTGCATAATAAAACTCCATATGAACTCCTGTATGGTCTACTCCCTACTTTCTTACATCTTAAAGTTTTTGGATGTTTAGCTTATACATCCACACTGTCAAATCATAGAACCAAATTTTCTAATCGTGCTCACAAAGCTATCTTCCTTGGATATAAAGAAGGCACCAAGGGTTACCTTCTTTTTGACATAAACACCAGATTTATTTTTGTGTCCCGTAATGTCATATTTTTTGAATCTGTTTTTCCTCTACATTGCTTTGTCAATACATCTCCAAGTAATGAGGTATGTAAACCAATTTATACTGGTAATGTTGACCATGAATCAATTCCCATTTGTAAAGAAACATTTCCCCATTCATCTCAACCCACTAATCCAACCACTTCCGCACCAAACCCTAATAATCATGTTCCCACTATTTCTCCTAGAAGATCCAATCGTGTCAGACAGCAACCAAGGTACCTGAATGACTATCATGTCAATTTATCCGCTAATGCCAACATCAATCTGACTCAAGGTAACAGATCCAATATTGTTTACCTTTATCTTCTGTTCTATCTTACAACTCTTGCTCACACTCCTATAAAAGTTTATGTTTAAATAGTAGCTCTCAGACAAAACCCATAACCTATAATCAAGCAGTCAAGCATGAATGCTAGAAAAAGGCTATGAGTGCTGAAATTTCTGCACTTGAACAGAATGGTACGTGGTCAATTTTTGATCTCCCACTTGGCAAAGAACCCATTGGATGCAAATGGATATACAAAGTGAAATACAACGCTGGTGGTACTATTGAAAGACACAAAGCTAGATTAGTAGCAAAAGGTTATACACAATTGGAAGGTGTTGACTATTTTGAAACCTTATCTCCAGTGGCTAAAATCACAACTATTCGAGTAGTTCTCTCCCTTGCAACTGCAAGTGGCTGGCACTTAGAACAATTAGATGTAAATAATACATTTTTACATGGATATTTACATAAAAAAAAAAGAGTATTTGACACTTCCACAACAATTTCAAAGCTCCAAACCAAGTCAGGTCTGTCATTTACATAAATCATTATAAGGTTTGAAACAAGCTAGCAAACAATGGAATGAAAAGTTATCTTCTGCATCGGTTTCTCTTGGATATCAACAATCTACTGCTGATCATTCACTTTTTATTAGATAATTGGAGCATTCAGTCACTGCCTTACTTGTCTATGTAGATGATATTGTATTAACAGGGAATGATATGTCTGAAATCTATCGTGTTAAAGCAGAATTAAATGATCGCTTCAGAATCAAAGACTTGGGAAAGTTAAGATTTTTTTTGGGCTTGGAAATAGCAAGATCTCAAAAGGGATTATCATTGAATCAAAGAAAATACACTTTGGACCTGTTATCTGACACTGGTTTTTTAGCTTCAAAGGTTGCATCTACTTCCATGGAAGCTTCTATAAAATTGCAAATTGATAAAGGATCCCTTTATCATGATTCTTCTGGATACCGAAGATTAATTGGTCAATTACTCTACCTTACCACTACAAGCTCCGATATTTCATTTGTAGTGCAACCATTATCTCAGTTTGTTTCATCACCTACTGATCTTCATTATCAAGCAGCAACCCGAGTCCTTAGATATCTAAAAGGATCACCTTCTAAGGGTCTGTTCTTCTCAGCTAACAACCCCCTCACTCTTTGTGGCTTCGCACATTCTGACTGGGCATGTTGTTTAGATTCATGCAAGTCTATCACTGGCATATGTATATTTTTTGGTTCATCTCTTATTTCCTGGAAATCCAAAAAGCAAAACACTGTATCTAGATCTTCTTCAGAGGCTGAATATCGTGCCTTGGCTAATCTTACTTGCGAAATTCAATGGCTAGCATATTTGTTCCAAGATTTGCACATTCCTTTAAAGACTCCCATCTCGGTATATTGTGATAACAATTCCACTATTTACTTAGCTCACAATCCAGCATTTCATGAGCGAAGTAAACATATAGAAATTGATTGTCATATAGTACGAGAGAAGATCATTTCTGGACTCTTATATCTCCTTCTTGTTCCTTCTAAATCTCAGTTGGCTGATTTCTTTACTAAGCTTCTTCATCCTACTTAGTTCAAGTCTGTTCTTTCCAAGTTGGAGTTGATTGACATCCACCTCCCAACTTGAAGGGGGATATTACACGTGAAAAGAGATAGGAATAGTTAAATAACTACTTTCAGTTATTTTCTGTTAGTAGTTATTTCTCTTCTTTAGTTTCTTTTTCTATATAAGCATACTTGTGGATAGACTCAGTAACAATTCAATATTCAGGATACATATTTCCTTTGTTCATTTTCCTTTCTCTCTTATTTTCATATGACTCACCTCACTCACTTTTAAGTAAGTGAGAATGATATAATTTATACAACAAAAATAAAAATATTTTTCCAATATATATAGTAAAATATATTTCATAACGCATCCTGAGCAATCAAAAACAATTTGTGAATGCTTATCTGCTCAGTAATGTCACAAAAGTGTTGTACCTTATCTACTTCTTGTGGACAAATTTTTTCTAGTGTCTAGAAAAATGTCTAGTTTGCACCGGGGTTCAAAACTTGCTAGTAAATAGTAAGCGTATCCCTAGCTACCCTCCAAGAAGCCTTCAGACGCTCCCTTCTGTCTCTTGGATATATTCTGAACAAATTGAATTGTTGAAATATTGCATCCAGTGACTCAGGTTTTCAAGTAAAGGAAAAATTTATAGTAGAACAGAAATCACATTGGTAAGGAGAAAATCATATTTTATTAAAAAAACTTCATAACAGAAAAAAAATACAAATTGATGTTGTTGGCAACATCAGACTACGCGTGTCCACCCATTACATTACACACAGCATATATGAAATCTCCTACCTTCTTAAAGCGACAAAGTATTCATAAGAAACATGTAAATACTACTAGAGCAATTTACAAATGCCTTAGGAACAAGATAACAATTTACAAATTGCTCTTGTTCCTAAGAGCAATTTACAAATGTCTTAGGAACAAGATAACGGGCAAAGGTAATAGACAAACCCCAATGCACAAAAGGTAAGAAGAGCCAAGAGGAGTTGGATTTTTCTTCAAACTTTAGACATGCTTATTTTACTAGAAAATAAAAATACACACGACCTTTGCTCCGAGAACAATTTAAACAAACATGTTTTACGAGCCACTTTAATGAAGCCAATTTAAGTTGACATCAACTTGAGGAATCTCTATCTTCAGATTGGGAAGCATAGGTTCGAAAGATTCCCATGAAGTAGCCGTCTCTTCGTCACATATCACCACCTTTAAATTCTTAAGATTAGCAACTGAGAATGGCAATTCACACCTTGCACAACTTGTCATGTAGATATTTCTTAGATTACACAGATTACCAATGTCCTCTGGTAAACTTGAAAGGCTTATGCAGTTTGAGATGTCAAGAAGTCGTAGATTTGAAAGACTTCCAATAGAATCAGGTATCCCTACCAAATCAGTACAGGAACTGAGCCTTAGGAGTTCCAAATCCTCCAACTTTCCAATATCTTTTGGCAGCGCAGAGAGCTTGTGGCAATTAGTAATACTGAGTTTCTTTAGTGGGGTAATATCACATAGCCCAGTAGGCAATCCCACCATATCTTTGCAATAATCAATGTTCAAATCTACTAGATTTGGAAATGCATCTGAAATTAGGATCATACCATTTTCAAAAGCCTGTCTCGTATTACACATGTAGAGGGATAATTTTTTTAGATTCTTCAATGTGGCAAAGGAAGGAACAAAAATCCGCTCTAGCCTAATTCTTTTCAGGTTTGATAAAGAGCCGAGTTGCTCAAAATTGTTCAGTTGAGAAGTATGGTACCCATAATTTGTGAGGATAAGAACTTTTAGTTCACTCATTTTCTCCATGAACTCTGGAAAGGTATACTGCTTAGTTTGAAGATTTAAAATAAGAACCTCGGCTTGAGCTGCTTGCATGTCGGACAAATATGAAGTGCAAGTTTCATCTGCAAATGCACAACCCATATGGTGTCAATTGTGAAAGAGGAATGAATAACTGATCACTTTAACATTCTTATTACCATTCTTGATTTTTAAGGGTGTAAGTATAACTAACCAGTTGATAGAGACACTATGCGGGCAGGGACCTGTTGGGGCATCTGTTTAACACCACATCCATGAAATTTTGACAATATGCGGGCTATCATGCCTTTCTGTTTCTCCGCAAGCCATCGTTCACGTTTGTTTTCATTTATCTCAATTATCAGTCTTTTTCTCTGTTCAATTGGTCCCTGGCTGCTTTGATGAATTGCAAGCTCTCTTAGAAGATCATGAAGGACGATGAAGTGGTTATTGTAGTAGTAATTGTCTGCGTCACTTGCATTTTTCCTGGTAAATGAGCATAAATAATTCCTTAAGAGAGAAAAATTACCTTACAAGATTAAAAACACAAGCTATCTATCAGATAGATTAATTACAAATTACAAAAATATGTTTAAAAGAATAAATGCAGAGTTACATAATGGGAGAAGTTTAAATTCAGATAAATGGTCATTTTGGAATATTATGTATGGAATCAAATGCTTCTCATATTAGTTACACAACTATTGAATAATTTGTTCCAGAGAGTATAATTCATATTATATATATATTAGGACTATGTGGCGTAGAAGAAAATATAAGTAGTCATTGTACCTTGCTATTAAAACATTAGCCAGATTCATGGAGTCTAATTTGTTGATGATGGCCATTGCTTCTCTGCCATCATCATCTAGTCCACACAATTCCGCCCACATATCAATGAGAGCATTAACAGGAATTCTTTGGTCTTCAGGAAATAGCCCCAAGTCCATGAAGCACTCCTTGGTGACAGGATTATCTTCCAAAACATCGAAGATCTTTTGGAGGGAAGAAAGTAATTCAGCATTAGAATCGAGTATCGAATGACCTTCGGACAATTCCTCTGCTATCTTTTGCCACAACTTATAAGGGCGATTACTCAGTGATCTAGCAATCACTTTAATGGCAAGCGGTAAACCCTTGCAATTTCTCACAACCTGCATTTCATTGCAAGCAAATATAGTCAGTAATCAAAGGGCTATGACTTAAGCACCCAAGCTGCAAGCAACCTACCGTATTATGCCTCAAGGGGTCAAAACATGGTTTTCTACTCATTCACTTTTTCTTTTATGTTAATTCAATGATAGCTAGTTAAGAAAAAAAGTTTGGAGTGGTCGTGTCCAATATTGTGATGTCTACTTCAAGTGAAGGACTTCAGACAAAAAGAACAAGTAACCAAAGCTTCCATATGTCAGAAAGTAGGAATAAGCACCTTTTGGACAATATCTTCATCAGGACTATTTGAACTGTTATCTTCCAAGAGAGCATAGTGACGGAAAAGTGTTATAGAATCTTCATGAACAAGAGGATTTAAGATACATGGTGTGCCAAATCTAGGAAATGCAACCCTTGAAGTCACCAAAACTTTATAATCAGATATCTGGAATTGCAATTTCTCAACGAGGGCCTCTGAGCCAGGCCAGACATCATCGAGGACCAACAACATTGGACTTCCCTCAATTTTCCTCAAAAAAAGCTCCAATCTATTAACAGCTTCTTCATCGCTTTGAAACTCAGGCACTTTAAATCCACAGTGCTCAAATAGTCTCTCTACAATAACCTTCAACTTGGGCGTTTCCGAGAAGGTGAAAAACAAAATATTTTCCCTGAATTTACCTAGTAAAACCAAAGAGAACAGAGCATTTGATATCTTGTACTATTTCAGAAAGCATAGACATAAGGTATTCATTTCACTATGTGCACATATCGCAACAGAATAACTTATTACTACATACTAGAACATCATCTTATGTTTGAAAAATATTTCTAAATAACTTTCTGTTAATTTCTTTAGTAATAGTTCACAGCTAAAATTCAACATATGAGAGAGAGGAAATAACTATCACCTTAAACAAATTTTATTATGAGCATACTAATTCATCAGGCATAAGAAAACCAAAGAGGAACTACCACTTACCCTTGACTTGTTCATCCCTACAAAGCTTTGTAGCCAAAGTGGTTTTCCCTGATCCTCCTAAACCAGTCAACAAAAGGGTGGACCCACCATCCTTGAGAACCTCCATCTTCAACTTGGTCAACGGCACATCCAAGCCAACAGTGAATTCTGGGTTCTCAGGAATACCAAAAGGACGCTTCAAAGGAGCTCCAGATTCATTAAATTTCAGCTCAAAATTCTCTCTGTTAAGAAGCTCAAGGATTTCTCTCATCTTGTAAAGTGTCTCCTTAACATCCTTTGCGACAAGAGCTTGCTTGTCATTAGCAGCAACATAGGACTCATCAACGTTATGCCAAAGCCTCTCCAACAAAGAGAGAGGCTTCTCCCAACAAAGATTCTTGCAGAGAAGATCAACACCTTCTTCCCCAGCATTTTTTTCTCGGATCAGAATCTTTATTTCTTCTTTTGGTGGATCCAAGTGTTCATTGTATTGCTCGATCTCCTTGACCAAAGGTTTCAAATCATGGAGCGTTGACCTCAATATTCGCCTGGTCTTTTTGCTCTTACGACCTATTTTGAAGGTCTCTTGAAGCTGCGATGTAAGAACAACAAGTTGAGTGTTTTCTCCCATGAGTAAACAACCTCTGTGTCTCTTATCAGAACATTGAAATATTACACAATGAAATGAAAGATCCGAGGATTTGGAATTGAAAGAACCGAACGTTGCAAGCCACGATTTTATATAGACCGACCTACTTTTTGTGAGCCTCACTTTCCTGCCCCCGTGGTCTTCACTTTCCTCGCTTCTTCCTCTATTATTGTTTATCCAATATTGTTTTTCCCGTACATCACGCGCCTTATAAATTTCAACTTTCTAAGAAACTGCCTGGCAAGCACCATGGAACGAAAACCAGTATATCAGGTAAGGAGTTTTTTATTTAATTTTGAGTAAAATATTTTTTTATCCTCAACAAATATATATAATTCAATTTAATCTCTTCAAAAACAAAAAAAAAAAACAATTGACTCGTCGTACTTTTAAAATATTTAAAATAAATTTATGTTAATCTTTTTAGAGATTAACTTCGACTTTTTTTGAATTTCAAAGAAATTATAATTTTCAACTAACTGAAATTATTTTGAATTTTGTAAAGATGACAAGCACCTAAAAAATACTTTTCTCTTTTATTCTTTTTTTTTTTTTTTTTAATAAACCACGTGTATCCTTTATATAAAACAATATTGTTCGAGATGGGATCCAAGCTTTAAACTCCTTTTAAAACTAATGTATAGAGAATCGAATACATGTTTTTATACCCATATCTAGCTACCTCATTGTCATTATTTTTTATTGTTGCGTGTTGGGTAGCATATATTTTTACAAAAATATTCATATTTTAAATTTATTAAAAGGAATAAAAGACTATTTTAAAAAAAATAAACATGAAAATTTTCTCAACATAATCGAGAAGGCATAAAGCTTTTGGCTTCCCATAGGCTGAAGTTACATTATTCTAAAAGCTCATGATTTTTTATTTATTTTTTTTAAGCAAAAGCTCGTGATTTATTCTTGGGAATCTTCAGCCACCGAATAGGTATTCTTTATTAAAAGTAGTGTTGTAAAACTCGGACCGGTAATCGAACCGGTCGAGGTAGGGGTGTTCGCGGTCTGGATTGGATCAGTTTTGGAAGAAAAACTCATTTGATCCAATCCCTTCGGTTTGATCATGTAATCATATTTTCGATTTAGATTTTTTTTCAAATTCGATCCAATCCAATTCAATTTTTTTCGGTTTGGATTGGATCGGTTTTCGGTTTTTTGAATATCCTAAAATTAGTTTCATGATTATTGTGCAAATAACATCTTTTGTATATATTGGCTTTGTAATTTTTTTTTTAAATACAAAAATATCAGTAAATAATACTATAGTTGATGAGACGTGACTAAGTTTTTTCTTAGGTTTAGTTGATGAGTTAATGGGTCTTGAGTTTAGAAATTTTTGGGCTATGATTGGAGAAAGGACAAGTAGGTAGAGGATAATTAATATATTGGATCGGTTTGGATTAGATCGATTTTCATCCACCCATCCGAAAATCGATCTAATCCAATTAAAATTTGCAGTTTTTTTCGGTTTTCGGTTTATTCGATTATCGGTTTTTCGGTTCGGTTTTCGCGGTTTGGATCGGTTGATGAACACCCCTAGGTCGAAGTACTGGGTCATTGGTTCAACCGGGTTCAACCGGATTGAACCGGATTTACTGTTCACATATTAAAAATATAAAAATATTACTTATTTGAATAAATATTCACATAAGAAAACTATCAATGAGCTTCAAAAAATAAATTGATTTTCATTGATAGCAAATATTATATACTTCTAAGCTTCTAGCTCTAGACCATATCCTAATATTGGATTAAAATTGCAATATAAGTTAAATGCACCTTTTGTGCTTGACATGATACGAATAAATTAAATCATGATAACAAATATTATGCATGAAATATATACTAAGAAAAAAGTGTTACCGTTATCATGATAACAAATAGTATGCATAAAATATACACTAAAAAAAAGTGTCCACCGTTGAGATGAAATCATGAGATCATCAATGTTTATCACCACTTAACTTCGTGAGATCATTATAAGATACAACTAAATTATATAAACGAACTGCACTAATCTAAAATACCTTATTATTTTCACCTTACTTTTAATCATATTCATCATAAAATATGAATATGATTTAATTCAAGAGTTCTTATCAACAAAAAAAAAAATTTACCAAAAAAAAAAAGAATAACCGGTCTAACCTGGGTCAACCGGGTTTCGGCCGGGTCAACCGGTCCAATCCGGTTGAGTGCAGAAACAGTCCAACTACCCGCTCGGACCGGGGAACCCACCGGGTCAACGAGTCCCGGGTCGACCCGGCCAGTCCGAGCCGGGTTTTAAAACACTGATTAAAAGTATAAAAATATGAAACTCAAAAGAAATTAATTATTAATTATAAAAATTAGTTAAAATAATTATTTATTTAATATTTGAATTAAAAATAAATTCTCATTTTTTTTATCAAGATTTCTATTGTGTAATTCTTTCTTTCACTATAAAATATAATAATTTTAACTACAACATCAACATTAACATCAACAATATCTTTATTCCAAATATTGGAGTCAGTGGTAGATGAATTTAAATGAAAGGTACGAAGGGATAAAAATAAATAAAATAATATATATAAGTAAAAAAATAAAAATAAAATAATAATAATAATAAAATGAAATGAAAAAGAAGAAGAAGAAAAAAATGAGGAAGGGGAAAAGAAGAAGATGGGGAATGAAGAGGAAAAGAACTAAAAATGGACTATCTGGAACATAGGAATAACAATGGTCTAACACTCCACATGCTAATAGCTTTTCTCCATTCCGTCCTAAGGCACATCGTCCGTCAATATATATTTCATTCCATTAAGTCTTGCTTTACTACCTTCCCTAAAGTATGTTTCGGTCTACCTCTACCTTTCTTTGTGATGAACTCTTGGTAACAAACTTTTGTTCTCACGGGAGCATCCGAGGGCCTTCTCATTACGTGCCTAAACCACCTCAATCTATGTTCTCTCATCTTTTCAGCCACCGGTAGTACTCGTACCTTACGTCGAATATCTTCATTTCTTATCTTATCCATCCTCGTATAACCATACATCCACCTTAACATCTTCATCTCTGCTACTCCCATTTTATATTCATTTGCCTATGTGCTGGCCAACATTTAGCTCCATATAACATTGTAGGCCTTACTGTTGTTCTATAGAATTTTTTTTAGCTTAAAGGGAATTTTGCGGTCACACAAAAATCTAGAAACATTACGTCATTTCATCCACCCTGCTTTGATTCTATGATTTACATCCTCATCAATCTCTCCGCCTTTTTGCAGAATGGATCTGTAACACCTCATGTATACCCGGATTGTTATCATATTAAAGTATTAAGCGCAACTCAATTAAATGCGGAAGCTAAAATAAATTAAGTTTGCAGACATGCAAGATCACTTTTTCCTTATTAACATGGCCAAATAACAATTCATCTACATCCTTATGTAATTGCAAAATCATACTAGAATTCTTGAAATGCCTCATATCATAAATAAAATACCAAGTCATGAAGCTACATTGCGTAGTCATGACCAACGTCCATATCTCATGGCGTAACAAAATACACATGTGCAACAATAACACAAATAAATCAACGGCATGGACAACCCCCATGCTCACAAACAAATAAAACATATATAATATGGTAAAAACATAACGTTATAATAATCATGTCACGGTACAATAATCATATCCATAATAATCTGAATAAAACATGCATCTCAAATAAACTCTACTCGGGCCTCTTGCCTTGGGAAGCATCCATCTCATAGACATCTGTACCTGAAAATATGCCCCAGAAACAGAAATCTCAGTAAGCAAGGGTTCTCGAAGAGTTCCTCCGCCCCAAGCTCACTTCGGTATAACAGTTCAAATATAATAGTTCAACAGTAATAACATAATCATATGATGCAGCAACATATATATATATCATGCATGTGTGCTAACAAGTCTACTGGCCAGAGAACACTATGATTTACACACGTATGCTACATACATAAGAAGTATAAGGCTCTTCCCTTATACCCACACTCAGGGAATACAGTCTTGTGCAGCTCCACACTACACTCATGTATTAGTCATCTTGTGTGTAATACACCACATAACATACATATATAAGAGTGCATCATTTCATCATCTCAAATAACAGATAAGCATATATATCATATAAAACTACCATCCTTCTCTTGGAAAATGGTGGAACAAATGGGGATCAATCTTGAGAACACGAAACTTACATGTCAAGTAGTAATATCACGCTAGAAGCCCACACAACAGTCCACGGTTCACCAAACAACATAGTCACAGTCTGTTTATGCCAGAAATATCATCAATAATTATGTCCTAAAATATCAAGTTAAACGGACAACGCTTCTTTTTTCGTTTAATGACCGTAGGCTTCTCTCAAAGCCATAATCATTCAATATCATGGGTTCTGACTTAGTTAATTATTACAGAGGTTCATACTAACCAATTAAGGGTCCATAAACTTAACCCACACTTTTGTTTGGAAAAAATAGCTCAAAACATGAATTTCCTAGAATATTCGAATATTCCTCGGGGACATATCCGGATATCCCAGGGTCAATATCCGAATATCCATATCCGAATATTACAGACCCAATATCCGGATATCTATATCCGGATATTTCGCGACAGAATACAGTTTTGCATTCCGCGAAGATATCCTTTCATGGTTCAATTTTTAACACTTACAGAGGTTTAAGTTGAACTTTTAAACACGATTAAGCTAGTGACCATCTTGGTTACTTATTTTTTTCCTTTAACATGCCAAGACTCAATCTTTCACATAGAAACTCAAGAGAAAAGGTTGAAGCATATACCCAAGCTTTCAAAACAGAGAAAAAAAGTGATCTTGGAGTTCAAACACCCACTCCAAGCTTCTGTGGACAGAGTTGCACGAATTTGCACCTCGAAGATAGGTGCTTTCTTCACCAAGTTCACTCCTTGGAGCTCCAATGGTGATGTAGAATACTCCAACACTCCCATCCCACTCAAACAGTCACAAGGCTCCTCAAAACAGCAACAATGGGGTTCCAAGAACATTATTTTCGAAAGGAAGATACTAGCTTTCAAGTGTTTCAAGTGATCAAGAGCAAGAAAGATGAAGAAAGGTGGCTTCTT